ACAGGAGCCTGTCAAACCCGAAGAAGGAAGAGATATGGCAAACCGCATTGGTGCATTCGGGTATATGGAGTGTTCGGCAAAGACCAAAGACGGTGTGAGGGAGGTTTTTGAAATGGCCACTAGAGCTGCTTTGCAAGCCCGGCGTGGCAAGAAAAAGTCCGGGTGCCTTCTCTTATAAAGTGTGGCCAGAGGAAGATGGCCAAAGCAGCACCCTGCACTTGAGTAATTTTGAAGTGCTGTTTATTAATCTTAGTGTATGATTACTGGCCTTTTTCATTATCTATAATTTACTTAAGAGATTTAAAAATCGAGTCATCTTGCTACCAGTATTTAGAAGCCAACCATGATTTTTATAACAATCTGCATCAAATTCATCTGTGCACCCAAGGTTAACCTCAACATTCCTCTAACAAACCTTTTCTGCACTCACAGGATATGCCAGGCGCTAATTGAAGACAATTCTCTATCTTCTTTCTTCTCTCTAGAAAGAGAAAAAGCTGTCAACACAGAGGATTGGTCTGTAACTACTTTATAACTAACGTCCTATTCTAATTGAGTACAACAGTTACATGGCTGTATGTGGAATCAAGTGTAGCTTCAGTGCTATCACATTTAGGAAGGTCTGATTTTCATGGCTCAGTGGTGTAAAACATTAGTTTGAAAATGTGATCACTCTGAAATGACCAAGTCCCATTCAGCTAAGGAAAAGTGAGGGTTCTGTGGTTTCATGTTAGTTACCTTTTAGTTACTGTGTAATTAGTGCCAGTTTAAATGTATGTTACCAAAAATAAATCTATTTACCCCAGCTTAGATGTAGTATTTTTTGTATAATTGGATTTCCTAATACTGTTACTTGTAACCTCTGCGTTAAGGTGTTCTGGGTTTTTTAAGAAACTGTATTTGAAAATAAAGTCCGATGGAAAGCAGCTGATCCTCTTCCCCTGTTCATTTGTAAGAGTCTGACCCATTTGAATGACTTGAGTGGTCTGCACACCCCAGGAGGAGTTTTTTTCCATGACGTGCCGTAGGGATGAGAAAAGACAGCCTGCTCACACTCAAAGCTTCTGAACTGTTCAGTTGCCTTAAGTTCATTGCTGGACCCAGTTTCAAAACTTAGAGAAAAAAAAAAAAAAGGTTACCATGTAGTGATCAGACTCCTAACCTGTGAACTTCTTGCTGTTCTGCAGCCAACTAAACTCTTTCTGTATTTTCATTTTTCCAACAACTAATAGAATAAAGGCAGTTTTCTAAGCTCCCTGTATCCTGGTGTCTGTATTCCTCACTCTGGGTTTTTGGCCCAGCTTCTGACAGCCTGAATGAGAAATACCCTTTTTGATACAGCTGTGATAGGATCCATTGAGCAGCTGCAAGTGCTTGAGTACTTATTTTTGTTTCCCAGCAGTGATACCCATCTGCTGCTGCTCATAGTGGTTTCCCAGTGCTGCAGCAGAGCAGAGGTGGAGGCCCTCGCCCTGCCTGGCCCCTGCGGTGAGTGGCAAAGTTTCCCAGGAGCTTCTTTTGATATTCAAACCAGATGAGAGTACATCAGTTGAATTGAATTTGGCGGTCTGGAACAGAGGAGCAGGAGGAGGCGATGTAGGGGGAGGGTGTAGGAAGAAGGGAGCAGACTGCAGCACTGCTGTAAGCACACACTGTACCCAGCATGCTGGTCTGCGCTGTCGCATGGCCCACGCGCTGCATGGAAGCACGTGTGAGGTGGTGGCGTGTGGCAGCACGCTGGCTGGGCCCATTTCATCATGGACGCCTTCAACCGCTGCGACAAGGGATGGGCTCGAGGCGTGGGCCGCTGTGCTGTACCCACGCTGGAGAGCAGATTGTGCTTCTGGCTGAGAAACAATACAGACGGCAACGTTGTGCATCTCCACGCTTGTGCTGGTATTGACAGCAGCTGCTGTTGAGCTGAGAGCCTCTGCCCGTGGGGCTGGGCAGGAGGGAGTCCAGTTGCCAGTGACAATCCATGTAAATGAGCACCTAGCTGTGTCCAAGTAATGGCCTAAAAAATGACAATGTCATTTTTTCTCTTGTCAATTTTCCTGATTTGTTTTCCTGCAACAAAGGAGAAACAGGTGTGGCCGTACCCCGTACCTCTGGTCCTTGTCCTCCCTCTGCAGCTGCAGACACCCCAGAGCGAAGAGCCTGGCCAGCCTGGTGGTGGCGGTGGCACCCGCCCTGCCCTTCCCTCCTTCCTCTCCTGGGTGCCTGTTCTCTATCCCCACGGGGTGAGGGGGTTGAACAGAGCAGGGAGTGCCCAGCTGCAGCTGCGGGGCTGCCCAGGAGGGTGTCAGGCTCTGTCCTGTAAACGAGCTTGCTCCCTCCTCTGCAGTTCCCTTTTTTGGTGATTTTTGTTGTGGGGTGGTTGCAGTTGAGCAAAACTGGGGGTTTTCAGTCTTGCAGAGCCTCTGGGTTGCAGTTCTCTGTGGTCACAGTTACAGAGCAGCTCTTCAACTGCTCCTCGGGGCTTTTCAGCAAGGTCTGCATGTTCTTCAGACCAAGCTCATGGGTTGTGTGTATCTGTTGATGCACTTCCACCCAGAAGTGTTATTTAATTAATTTGTTATCCCATGAATTTGTTATCCAGTTTCAATCTAAGCTCTTGTTAATGTACAGTACCACCTCCCCATCTCCTCCATCTTGTCCACCAGCTGGAATTAGACTTCCAGGCCTGGCCTGCCTTCTCCAAGTTCAGACGTGTTAGTAAATCAGTGTTTCCCATTGATGACCAGAAGCTCCAGCTCCCTCTCTTTGTTCCTTGCACCACTGGCATCAGAGCAGAAGCCTGCTTAGGAGTGCGTGGTTGTGAAGTTATCAGCCCTTATCAGCCTTCCTGCCTTCGAGGGCCAGTAGCCTGGCTCCCTTTGGGTTCCCGTCACATCTGTCACCTCTGGAGGCCGCCTTTGCCCCCTTTGCTCTGGATGAAACTGCAGACACAGCCAGGCCAGACTTGTGAAATGAGAGCTCAGTGCTTGTGGAGAGTGATCCAGGCAGGCAAGGAGCTGGGGGGGGGGCAGGGGAAAAGCAAGGAGTCAGGTCCAGGCCCCTGGCCAGGGGAGGGAGTTCAGGACCAGGAGTGGGGAGATGTGAGCGGAAGGCCAGACGGTGTGGGTTCGTGGCCTTTGCAGTTACTCACCGCTGTTTTGTTAAACAACCTTCTGACCTCAGAGGACAACCATCACCTGTGACACATGTACAAAGGGGTCCCTGGAGCCCATCTAGTCCCTCTGGAGCTCCTGGCACTCCTCTGGATCCAAGTTCAGCTGGCTCCACAGAATGTGTCCAGGCACAGGGGGTAGTTCCGAGCCAACAAAGAAGTTCACTCAATTGGTTTCCTTAAAACTCACTTGTCAGAGGGAAAGCCCTGACCTGCTCTTGTGTGAAAAGGGCAGGGTCCCAGAAGTAAACTCCCTACTTCAGATGAAATCCACAGTTCCAGCCTGAGGATTGAAGGTGCCAGCATGAGCAAGCATCAAAAGTGGCCGAAGAGAGATTTCTCTGCGGCACTGCCCTAGAGGTCACCCCGAAGAGACATTCCTCCTCTTTAAGCCACTGTGGCTCGCCCTGCCCCGGGGCGGGTGACGAGTCTGCTGGGACGGTAACCGTCCGTTGACCCAAGAGCAAATGTGGGTCACGTGCCTCTGCTCGTCCCATCAGCCATTTCCCGGCTGCTCTCATCTCTCTGGGGACACTCGTGGCTCCTGCTATCAGTGCTGCAACACGCTGCAAAAACTGCAGGTCCCTGAAGATGCAAGATAAGCAGGCGCATCCCCAAAACTCACTGCAGCTGGAAACTATTCAGTTCCCAGTCACAGGGGCAGGTGCCAAGAGTGGCCCAAAGCAAAACCCCCAGATACTGCAGGCACCTGGGAACCCAGAGCAGAGACGCAGCGTTATACAGTGGCCAGTTAGCGACAACTGGCATTTCATGATGAGTCCCTGCTACCAAGCATGAAAGAGAACAGACAGCAGTAGAGGGGGACCCTGAGTGCACCCCCCTGCCCTGCTGTGGGGCCCAGGCTGCCTTGGCCGGGGGCCAGGGCTGATAAGCAGCTGCTTGACCTTTTGGCGCAAACACTGGCAGGAGCCTCGGCAGGGGCTCCCTGCTTCCCCGTGGGAGCCCTGCTGAAGCTGAGGCCCTTCCTCTTGGTCCCTGCCGAGGTGTGCTGCCCCACGGTCCCTGGTGGGCTGACCCACCGAGGTCACCTCAAGGCCCAGCCCTGGACCTGCCTCTCCTCGGCGTGCTCTGGAGGGGGGCGATGTGTCAGCACAAAGGCCCGTGGCGGAGCGGCCGGGCCGGCCGCCTGCTGTGGGTACAGGCAACGGCGTAACGCACCCAGCGCTGCCCCGCGTTCGGGGGAAGAGCGGTCACTGCTTGTGGTTTAAAACTCCCTAAACCAGACCAAAACAGTAAGGCAGGGAGTGGAAAAGCCAGGGATGGGAAAGAGCAACTGCTGAAGGGAGGCTTTACCAGCCTCAAAGGGTGGAAAAACTATAAAAGGAGACTGAAGAAGGGAAGACGCGACTGCCAGCAGCGGTGGCTTTTGCATCCCTCCTGTCCCCCCTCCTGGCGCACGGAGGGAGGGAGGTGTTTCCCCAAAGCTGCTCCCGCTGGCCGTAGTGTCCCGGGAGGACGCCGCAGCCCCCGGTGCTGCACTGGGCCGTCTCCGCACTCGCGTGCTCTTGTCACCGCGAAGTCAAGTTTTAGCTCCTGGGGCCACTTTGTGTTCTGATGATTTTCCACCGCGTTTCCGAGAACGGGTGGCGCTTCCCTGTGTATGATCCGCGGATGTACAAACCACCCACTCCCGAGCTTTTAACTGAAAACCGCCGAAGCTTTCCGGCAGGGCGAGGGCGAACGGCCGGGGGTGGGAGGCGCCCCCACCCCTGGCGCACAGAGGGGGCGGAGGAGGGCGCGGCGCGGGGCGGGCG